CCCCCCCCCCCCCCCCCTCCCCGTCTTCTATCTCCCCTGTTCTCCTTCTGTACCCGTTCCTCTCTAGCTTCAGGATGGAGGTTCTGGCTGCGTCGTCATGGGAGATGGCTCTGTCCATCTGCTTCTTCTGTCATTAACACATCTCCATCATGCTTTATCAGAGGGTCCCCCACCACCCCCCACCCTCCTGGACCCTCTTCACCATTCTGACAATCCCTGCCCCCTGCTCTATACGTAAGCCCAAGATGATAAGTGTTCTTTCTCTTTGTGTGGCTGCAGGATAAGACAATGCCACACAGCACTACAGAACATCATCCATCTCATAGGTCATCAATCTGGGACACAAAAGATGAAATGTGGCTCGAACTGCCTTTTGCAAAGAGATTTCTCTGTGCTTAGATGAAGCTTGTTCTCCTCCTCTCTCGATTCTTTGCGCTACCGGGTTAGTGGTTCACCAACAAATTCTTCACCCTTGTGGCCACACTGAAGGAAGTAGTTAATGTATGAAAACGATTTGGGGTATTTCGTAATAACACCAGTGCACTGCATAAAAATAAAACAAGTATGCACTAAACCTACACACTAACAGGCCTCAACCAAATTTACACAGTTCTGTTCGATGGTAAAACTATTTAAAAGCCCTTTTTCACATAAACAACACAATTTGTCTGATCACTGTTTAGTCATTGTCTGTGACAACAGTGTCTTGGTTTGGGGTCCTGATTTTATTTATGCACTTCCAATAACATTAAATATTTGCAAGCAAAAGCAGATTTGTGTGTATTTTAACTGAATTCCAGAGGATGATGGTGTTGTTTTATCACCGTTCTCCTTTTTTGACCCTCTAATGAGAAGGTAAAGTTCTTTTCATGTTTATACATCGACAGACAATCAGAGGCAGAGAGCATATCACTCACAGGAGAGTAATGCCATTTTTTGAGGGGCTACAAGTTCATAATGTCTTGGCAATGTCATGCAAAGTTTGAATTCATCAAACAAATTTATTTGTAATTGGATCTAAAGAAGAGCCAAATTATTTGTTCTATAATTTTAAAAAAATTCAATTATTTATCTGGATGTCAAGGACATAAATCGCCCTGTTGTCTCTGTGTGATAAGCTTGTGTCCATATTGTGGAAAGCAATACAGCAGAAGACTTGAATGGGATTTGTAAATGGAAGGTGGGCTTACTTATAATTATTTTTAATGATGGTGTACTGTATAGAGTCTGAAAAAGCATTCAGTTAAGCAGTATTAACCCAAATAACCCAATACACATGCAGCGTCACTCCCAATAGTGTACAGTACACCTCTTTATGATAAATTGAAAGAAAAACAATAGAAACACATGACCTTTTCTTCCAGCATGCCTACGTCCAGTGACAAAATCTGCTGTATCCTTTGTCATTGTCTATGCTTGTTTGCAGTGTGTCCTGCAGCTAATAAAATTCTGAAAATGCAGTAAGCTTCTAACAAAAATCACGCTTATCTTCATACAAAGTAATGACCTTACACTGTTGGCTATTGTCACTTAGCCACAACAAGATCTCACCCAAGATCCTATGACTCCACCTGAAGTGTTTTTGTGTAAAAACACCTTAAATGTTGAATAATGATCCCTAAACATGAAAACATTATAATTCTTGAGATATTTCTGAAAATCATCACAATAATACAAATTGTCAGCGTTACATTACAGTTATATTAGTCAACTTTATCACTAGTCTAGACAAATTCAAATGAGAAAATGGGGCTATGATATGACAGCTATTTTGAAAATAAATTAACAAACCATCAACAAAGAGCTCATGCTTCAGACAAAAGAGGAGTAGCTATTAATTCTGTAACACACCAACCCATAACCATAATAACCTTTCTGAAATACAATTCAAACTCAAGACCCTGCTTGCACACATTGTGTACAATAGTGGATGGGGTTTGCTCAGTTGTTGACAGCTGAGCTCAATATCTGTGGATTAAACCCACAGCAATTTTAGTATTTGTCATCTGTGTTGGCTTAAGGGTTACCATAATGCCAAAGTTCATTCTTGAACTTGGAAACAGTTTGACAAAACAACCCCAAAGTCCATTTGCTGGATTGACTTTGTTTGGAGAATATGATTAGTTGTAAAGTATTGCCACGCCATTTACTCTCAGTGGTACAAATGTAGGCTATAACAACCAAAGCCCATCATTTTCTTATTTTAGATTTAGGGTTTACCCCTCAGGAACTTCACTAGAGATCATGGGAACTGTTCTTTACCAAGATGAGCTGAAATTAAAATCAACAAAAGATTTTTCACTAAATAAGAACTTGACCTTTTAACTGTCATAGGCTAGGCTAGTTGAGTCACTATACTTTTCTGTTCTAAACAAAGTACCATGCTTCCAACAGAGAAGTCAACTTTATATAGCCACAGAATCACTTTTACTATGTCGCAAGGCTTGCAGTACTATCCCGCCATCTTGTGGCCTGGTTGGGCAAGGCAGCACTTGCTGTACTCTCCTAGCAGGGCCTTATTGCTCAATTTCACTGCTTGACACATTAGTCCCTCCGTGGCACCCGTAGATTTGCGGTAAAGACAGACGTGTATCTAAACCGGAAGTTTTGTACAGTACTACTATCATTAGTGATGACTACGAGCTATCGGCTGATCGCAACTTGTAAAAGTGGGATATGTTACGAATGAATTCAAAAGACGATGCCATCCGACTTAACGTTAAATTTCGAACACCATCAACAACATCCAGCGATGGATAGTGAGACAGACATGATCTCCATCGACCAGGGAGGAGAGTGGGGTAAGCGTCGGTTCTAGAAAGACGTGAAGCGGATGCGGCTACGCTAGTTAACATCTAGTAACAGATGGCTAACTTTAAAAGGCGATCTTGAAATATAGTTTCAGACAAGCTTCAAACACACTTGTATTCATCTACGGCCGATATGGTGCTTGTGTTTTCATACGCTTTGGTATTGAGTAACAGTTAGCCGATTATTAGCTAGCTGTAGGAGGTATGATTATGTAATCTGGATGTGAGGGACTCTATATTCCATAGTGCACCTGTTTTGATCATACATTGGATCAAACAATATGGCGTATTATTTAGCATAATTACGATGAACCTCATGTCCCTCAATCGGACAAACCGTTTACTACAGCTGGTTTATATATATATGTAAATGTTGGTTTTACGGTCATTTTTAATTGGTTTATTATTGTCATCATTATTATTATTATGTGAAAAGAAGTTACGTTAACCGTTATTGTTTTTGTCAAACTGTTCAATCTTATCCAACACACCTCGGTGGTTTTACATGCTTTATTTTTTGTCATGTTTGAGTCCAAGTTTGATGTTTTTGTATTATTAGCTTTGTGTTGTCTATGTTTTGAAAAGCTTATTTGTATATTGTTTCATGAGAGACTACACATTAATAAAATAGACAAAAGAGCACATTCAAAATGTATAAACTGCCTAAAGTTTCACAACTGAAAACCAATTTTTAGTAAAAGCCATACATGCTTGTTGACACTTGCAGATGGGAGCACTGAACAAGAGGTGTTAGGGTTTCCATGTTTTCCAAAGCTATGATTTATGTTTTGTGCTGTATGCCTGTTGTTACACAGACATAAGCCTGTTTGATGAGTTGGACAACCTAGGAGATGCAGATGAGCTGCTTGAGGCCCTGAAGAACTCTGGCTATGTGAGTAACTCCTCCTCTTAGTGTACAGATCTTCAGCTGAAGCCTAACATGAAGTGTGGTTAATAGCAAATCGGAAAAGCAAGAAATGTGCTTGGTAAGGGTGGTGCAGAGCTAGTGATGCCGCACAGTATGCCCCATATTATGTGAAGACATAGGATACACTGTGTAGCTTTCAGACATACTTAAGCCAGTAGACGAACTTTTACAATGTCTTTTTAAACTGCCTCTCGACACTTTGAGTTTCCCACCTACTGTATATGGAATAACAGTTCCTTTTTTTTTTTTTTTTTTTTAAACATCTGGCAGAAATGCATGCCCTGTATACTAAAAATAATGTGCTTACACTGTTGATCAGATGTTGACTTTTGTTTCTTATACGCATCCTGGAAAGGACCATTGGTTAAAAAGTGTGTTTGGTTTTTCAGGCCACCGATGGTCCAGATCTGGACTTTGATATAGATATACCTCAGTGGAATGAATTGGATGCAGGCAGCCCCTGCACAGGTAGGTACAGCAACACATGCTGAGATCTGTGTTAAATGTGGCTGTTTTATTTCAGCTTGAAAAGAGGGAAAGCTGAACTAAAAGAGTGACATCCATGTTTTTAATATTTATATGCTATAACCCAAATTAATATAACCTTTGATTGAGGTGAGGATTGTTATCATTTTTGTCATAACCCACCTTTCAGAAGGTTTACCAGTGGTACTATAATGATGGAAACTTGGTTGACTTGCATTGTTTGTTTAATTTTTGCATGGCAGCTCAGTGACTGAAATGCAAAGACAGCAGGTGTAGCTTAGGTATGTGTTTACGGAACATAGTGGTTTATGAAATAAAAGATATCTAAAGAGTTTTACTTCATGTGTAGGAGTTCCCAGGGACAGTAAAGCACATCTGACTATGCTGATAAGCCTGCATATATGACAGTTTTGGGTGTTTGTCCTTGTGCATCCAGATGGTGAAGCGAGCATGGACTCTCTGTCACCTGCCCACACTCTGAGCTCTGTTTCCTCTCCTGCCTCAGTGGAAGCCCTGTCCCCATATTCCTTACAGGTAAGTCACTGCCATCAACTCATTGTCCTTCCCAGCTTTCAGCATTTGCTTTGTATTTCCAATGCAAATTTTTGCTTTATTCTTTTTGTCCAGATGGTGTCTAAACATTGACAGCTGCTCTTTGCTTTTGGATAGAGACTCACACATACCCACTTGAGACAATTATTAACACAATCCTTAAACACCTTGTCAAGTTGATCATTTACTGTCTGTCTGAGCTGTGCCCTGCCCCTTCATTAAACAAAAGGTGTTGACAGCTTCAACCATATTAGCATAATTTAGCAGGCAGATGTTTTCACAGTGTGTCATACAAAGGACAAGGGTTACATCTTTGTCTGACCTCAGCATGGTCTGCACATATTTGTCTGCTTACTGAATCACCCTGACTGAATCCAAGGACATATTTGTCTGCATAATGTATGAGCAACTTCATGAAAAAGTCAGTGTTGAACATCAGAAGCAAAACTATTTTAACATTTTAAAGAGGTCTTCTTTGCCTCTCCTTCCAGGATGAGGCTCTGTCTCCACAGTTGCTGCCCTCTCCCGTTTCAGTGTGCTCGGAATCAAGTGGCTTTTCTGAAATCTCTCCTTCACCTAAGAAGGCTCCAAAGAGAACCAGCCAGAGCCCACGAGGTGAGGCAGCCTCCACCGCCACACATCTGCTCTTTCACTTGGCACCTATATTTGTATTCTTTGTCCAGATTCCAGGGGAAATTCTACACCACAATCTGGGTTTAGTATTTCACCTGAAAAGAGTAGGAGTGCCTGTCAGAAAAAAACTTGGCTCCTTATAAATACCCTCTTGCTGTAAATGCAGTTTTCATCACCTGATCTCAGCCTTTTTTTGTATTTACATACGTCCTGTTTTCTTATCTCACACCTCCACCCCCTCCCTGGACACACACACACTAGTCAAACCAGTTCAGCCACTAAAGAGGCCGATTCAGATCGGCCCAAGGGTCTCCATCCAGCCAAAATCGCTGATTACAGCTGTGCCCTTGGCTCATGCGGCAGCTCCCCTGCAGGCAAAGACAATCATCATCCAGCCCCTGCAGACCACTGTGCTGCCTGTGGTCAAACCAGCTCCAGTCAGCATCCAGCCAGCACCCCCTCCAGGTCAGAGCTCACACTGCAACACACTGAGGCACTGCTGGTACATGTATTAGCAAACAGTATAATCTTATTTGAGTATTTTGTAATTTATTTAAATTAAGGCTTTGCATTATGTTATTTGTTAGTGTTTGTCGTTTCTAATTAATTTGTTTGACGTTGTTGCTCAAACAATAAATAATTTTTTGTGTCTTGGCCAGCAGAGGGTGCTGTAACCTTTAGTTTTTGCTCCTCAGTGATCTTCAGTATCTTATGATTCTTATGTTAGTGGTCAAATAAAAATGTCAACCAGTTATTAAGATGTATAATTTTTAGTTTTGAAAGCAAAATATGACAAAATTTTGACCGCATTAAAAAAAATCCAATCCAAGTTTTCAAAGTTTGTTTTATCAGCCACATTTAAACCAAAGACTTTTTATGCACTGCTGTGTGTTTTGTGCCTTAAAGTCATGGTTACTGTTGTCTTGCAGTCTAGCCAGGCTGGTTTACCAGTCCAGTATTCTCTGGGTGTTACATCAACAGCAACTAGGCCAGTGTAAATACTTATGTCATTGCCTGGGACCCAAGTGGGTGGAGTATCTGATCACTCTTGACTAGAATTTGAACTTGGCTTTCTCAGCCTGGTAATGGCTCAGATGGCCAAGGCCAAGACCCCAGAGAAGTTTAGAACCCCAGATGGGAGTCAGGTCAAGTCTGCTCAAGTATTATGTCTCATTGGTTTAATATGCTGTTTAATATTCACAGCTGATAAGTGAGAACAATGGATCAGGGAGATGCAAGAAAGAGGTTTGCTCTAGAGTCTGATCTGGGCTGTCGTGTATTTCCAACAAACAGCCAGGCTGGCAGGTGTTCCCAAGGCTTTTAATTTCTTTTGACTTTCCTTCTTATGAATTCTTCTTGTATGGCGAGCCTGGGCACAAGACATTGTGTTGGCACTGCAGACATTCATAACAGGTTGTTTAGTGTTAGAGGTGAAGGCTGCTAGCTTGGTTTCCTTGTACAGTCTTACTGGGAGCATGGATTAAACTGTGGGAGCTTCCTGCATCAACAGGACATTCATACATGGGCAGTATTGTGTTTTCTTGTGGATTTTGCAGATGTCTTTCTTTCAAGCCATGATCCATTTTAAATGCAGGCACATGTGCACGTTGATGTGGGTTCATGCACATAAAACCCAAACAGCTCTCAGTTAGGAAAGGGAAAGTTTAAGATCACAGGTCAAGATGGTAAAATTCTTCTCCACCTGTTCTTTAAAAAAAGAGAGTCCTGTTAAAAACAAAGGTTTAATGAAGGTCCCCAGAGGTTACGTAGCTTGAATGTTTATGTTATAAATGTCAAGACAAATGTGGAATAAGAGCCATGCATATAAACGTAAGAGCAAGCTAACAGGTACACATAATCACAGTTAGTGTGAATCTGTGGTAATCATACAGTAAGTATATGATTATAGTATAGATAAGACCCTATAATTAGAAAATGCCTGTGTGTGGTGTCCCTCTCTCAGGCTGTCACATAGTCCTGTCTCAGCCGACCCAGGTGCTACAAATCCAGACACCACAGACCGTCACCAGCAATGTGGTCACCTTGCCAACGCTCAGCCAGGAAAGGCCTGTCCCTGTCGCCGCGCCTCCCATGGTCTCTGTCACACATCGGACCACTTCCTCAGATGATGATGTGAGTCCTAAACACATTTCGTATGACTCGTATCACCTTTGTTGACACACCGCACAGCACTGATATAGAGTATTAACACTGTGTTTTCATCTGCTTATTTTCATGTGCATAAGAAAAGCAGAGAAACAAAATACAGAAAAAGGTCAGAATAGTGGAAAAACATAAACTGTATATGTTTGGTTCAGGTGGAAAAGTGAATGTGTTGATAAAAACAACATTCAGCAAAGTGCAATGAAGCAGATGTGTGCTTCACAATGATTGCATTAATTATTACAATAAACAGAAATGTAATGTTTCCCCTACATTTTCTACATGGTTTGTCATTGCTAGAGGTTTGACTGATGCTCTGTTAATTACATCATTGTGTTGTGCCCCCAATAGCTTATCTCAGCAAGCTCAACTCCTAACCGTTGTGTAATGGCAGAGGAAGAAACCGTGCATTAATTTGCTTTTGAAATAGATTTGTTTAAAATGAATACTACATTTGGATGGAAACCTGACTAATAGGAGCAGAGAGCAGTGCTGCTGCCCTTATTCAAAGAGCCGGTGTTTAAAGTCCACTTCTGTATTAATGGAAGTTATGAAAAAACCCATCATTTAAACAGAAATTTATTTTAAAAAGCAATTTTTAATATTCTCATGCTTTGCCTTGATTAGTTGATGTTAACTGGCAAACAACAAAACACCACAAGAACTACAAACACCATAAGGACCTCCGAGAAGCAAATCAAAGATACCTAAAAAAATAAGACAAAACATAGCACTTGAGAGAAATCAAGAACAAGAATATTACTCCTACAATTAATTCGACAATGGGGAAAAACCCCGTATATCAACAGTAGTAGAGACTAAACAACAGACACTATAAGGATCTCAGAAAAACAAATCAAGAATACCCAAAAAACAAGACAGTACAAGCATTTCAGAGAAATCAGGAACAAGATATCGCTCCCACAGTCAATCCCACAGACAGAGCAGTCTGTGGTGGGGTGGTGGGGGGTGTATGCTTTCCTGGCATTTGCATAGAGTAGGTCTAGAGTTTTATTGTCCTTTGTGTGGCAATTGACATACTGGGTGAAGTTTGGGAGGGTGGCAGAGAGGGGGAGGGAGGCATGGTTAAAGTCCCCCGAAATGAGGATTAGCGCCTGTGGGTGTTGTGTGTCTGCAGACGAGGGAATTAGTGTAAACCGTCACCACAGAATCAGGAGTGTCGGTGAAACACAGATGGCTGCTCTTCCTATACACCTGTTGCAGTTCCGTTAGCACGGTTAGCTCGTCCACTAGGGTTAATTAGGGTCCAAATATTTTCAGGCCACTGTTTGCCTTAATCAGTTGGAGTTAACATGGCTTAGTGGAGCTGTCTTTATATGGCTGCAAAATGTGAGGGCATTTATTGTGGAATTGAGCCAGTAGGATTAAATATAGATACACGTGAAGTTAGATAGCGTCCTGTTCGTAAACCTTACTGGCCTTAGTGGACTCGCCCAGAATGTCACCCACAGTGTTTGACAAGAAAGACAAACTGTGTGTCTGTGTGTATGCACTTTCCTACTAATGATGTTGTGGTTGCCATGTTCACATTCAGACTGGATCCTGTTCAACATAAACTCCCTCATATTACCCTATTTTTGATCTTTGTTTTAATTTCACAGGCTATTGAATTTCTGGGTAAAATATAAAAATGAAGTGTTGAAAGAAAAAGTTTATAGCTGTTATTAATTTATAATGGTGAATATAATTTAAAAAATAGGCCAGAATTAATTTTGTTAAAATTAATGGTTTTCATTTACTAATCAAAAGATATCTTGTTAGAGCTTAGCTAGAAACTATACTCACCACAGTTGATCTTGTCTATCTGTTTATCTGTTCAGATCATGTGATTCCAAGCTTTGAACATGCAAACTGATGTTGTTTGTGAATTGATTTGTTGCTTGCCAGTTCCTTATTAAATACTTAATCACATCAGTTTTTTTTTAAATTACAGTGTTGGTCATCAGAAAAACCTTTATGGCTTTCATATTAATCCACAGATAATTATTACTGACCTCTGCTGTGACTGGAGCCGTGGGGTTTTACCGGAAAGCTACATATATTATACAACTGCAGTTCAGACAGTGTGAATGGTGTCACAGAAGGACATAACCCTCCATGTGGATGACGTAGGGTGGATCCTTCCGAGTGTTGTATTAACTGGTGATGTCAGTGACAGCTGCAGTGGACAGAATACACACATAAATGCAGCGTTAACACACAGGCTCCTGGTCCTCATTACTTCTCCTCACGCACTCATTTCTTTAAGGCCTGCTCATGACAGTACAAGACAGTCTAGAGCTTTCAGGGAATCTGGTAAAGTACTTTTAACTGCAATAGGGACTGCCCCAGAGATTTAAAAGTAAAAAAAAAACAAAAAAACAACTAAATTATAGTATTTTTTTTTTATGGTACAAACTTGTCACCTCTCAAAAACAGCTTGGTTCTGTTTTGGGTCATGTTCTTTCTTATTGTGTTTGTGTTGCTTGAATAAACTGCAAATGTCTCTTCTAGTCTGACTTGTCAGCCTCCACTGACAGCCACAGAGACACTGTGACAAATCAGAGTTAGTTCTGGGTTCAGTTGAACCCAACAGTTCCTGATGGCATGTCTTGTCTGGCCTTCAGTGAGCTGTTTGCTTTCCAACTCACCCTACGTTCACACAGTGTTCCAGTGACATTGCAAAAATGTATCACTGGACATGTGGGTAGCTTTCTTGATCATGGAGAACCCTGTGTGCCACACTGGTGGAATGTCACCTAAACCACCCTCAGTGTTTCCTGCGGTGATGCTGCGACGACCACACAAGTCAGCCCAGTCTTCAGTGATTATCATCTGATATGAACCATCACCATGTGGCCCTGATGCGTTATTATGAATATGAAAAGTATTTGTCATAACCTAATGTCAGAATGTTTTACTTTGCCAGTATATTTCCTTTATTTTGACATTCCCAGTGGTTTCCACGAGGCTTTTAAATAATTCACCTCAACTAAAATTTCACAAGTGGCTCTTGTTTTGGTTCCATGGTGAGTGCACTTAAAAGCATGCAAGAGGAATGTCTTTAATTATCATGGGCATAATTGAGTCTGAAGAAGCACTTTTTTGTGCCAGACCTCTAGAGCGGAGTTGGGGAATTCCAAAGCCAGCAGGCCAAAACAAATACACCTCCCAGCCATTTGCAAAGCTAACTAAGTCAATTTTACAGTTTGTGATTTAAGAAGACTATACATGATGATTGTGATGGGAAAGACTGGGTTTTTGGAGCTGATACTTCAACTTGTTTCTCAAAAGAGAGTAGTGGAAGTTTAAAATGGACTTTAAAATGAAATACAGTATTATATCACCCAGTCTGATTGTTTATCATATCATCTATGCAATGATTTAAAATGAGATTATATTTTACTAAATGATGGCCACTGTAGTCACAAGTGACAATACTAATGGTAAAATGTGGTTTAACGGCAGCATACGGTCAGCAAACTCCCTCAGTGATGTCACTTACACAGCAACATCTGCCTGAAGTTTACTAACAGGAGCCAACACGAGCTCGTCCCAGACCTACTGAGCCTGCGGCAGCAGAGCCCCTGTGTGGGGTCTGTTTTGATGCTTAACAATTCAGTTTTTTATTTGAAAGGAAAAGAATGTTTTTCAGAAGTTACATAGTCTCACTTTAAATATACTTTACAGTAGTTTCTATGGCCCACCGACAGGCTCTCAGGCTATGCCATGTTGTGCGTATGTGTAGGTTACTGTTCGGACCCCTGCGTTCACTTTGTAACCCCCCTGTGGTCCGGCTACAGCACAGAGGTGGAGTTGAATGTGTAAAACGTTTGTCAGAGATGCCATGCTTGTGCATGTTGGATATGTCTTGGTGTATGTCGCTGTTTAAGGTGTTTCTGTACTGTATTTTGGCCCATAGAAAGGCTGTATAAGCTCGGGTGTTAAACGGCTGCTAACAATTACATGCTTCAGGCAGGTGCTGTGCTGGACAAGGTATTTGTGACAGCTGTAAACAGCCATCAGGGAATGGGTTACTGTAATGTGATGGGCTCCTGCTCAGCCAGGGGTTTAGCTCTGTGTGTGTGTGGGTAGACCTGGGTGTTCTAGACTGAAAAACAGTGAAGTCTGGAATTACAGGCTTCAGAAAATCCCCCTGTTGGTAGGGTGTGAGGACTTAAAGGAGGGGATCTGAAGAAAGCATGCTGTCATTCTGCATGGAAAGGGGACCCCTACCTCTAACAATAAAGATACTGCTTTTATTGCTTTAACTTTCTTTTGCATCATTGTTCCCAAATCAAAGGGCGTAGTTGGATCAGAGGAAATAAAAAATCACCATGAGATACTTCCTGGACAGCTACATGAGTGATTAATTAAAAACGGATTTTTTAAATTTATTTTTTCTAGACTCTAGTTTGCATCATCATTCAGCGTTCATGCAAGAAGAAATCTGTCAGGGTGTGACGTTGTTTTACACTCAGTGATTTGAACAATTCATCATATGATGTGCTTGAGATCTCTTGATTACATACTTCAGCTCCCTGGATTTTAACCTCATGTTTTTTCATATCTGTCATGATGTTTCTTGTTAATGAAGCCCCTCCCATTTGGATAGGTTAAGTGTTCATTACACGTGTCCTCCTGGAGTAACCCGCCACATGTTGAAAGTGTATCAGCAGAGTGACAGTCAGGCGTCCAGGGAGCTCCTGGATTCTCAGCTATTGTATTTTTATTTTCTCTCCTCTCATGCATTGAGGCATTTCAGCATATTCATACAATAACCCAGGACTGCTTAGTATACCAGCAGCTGTTAACAGCTGGCCACTGTGCAGTTCTGCATAAACAGCTGGGGACAGAGATGTGTATACCTTTTTTCTCTGCGTTGACTTTTCCCACTGACACTTAAATAGTCTGAGCTAGAACCAGTGTTAGTTTTGACTCCTCACCCTTTCAAGTGAGGTTTATTGAGAAATGCTACCCTGCCATTTTTTTAAACCCCTGCTCCACGCTTGCTTCTTCAGCCTCGGTGTGTGTGCCAGTGTGAAGTTCTTCCTGCTCTCCAGTCTCTGGTAACTGCTTCCATACAGCGTTCCCAGGCTCGAGCTAGTGGCACGGCTCCCAGATCTGCTCTGGGAGACAGAGGGGTTTCTCAGGAGACAGAACACAAATACAGGGAATCCAAATAACTTAATCACCAGTGGGGTTATTAGGTCCAGGATCTTGCCCCAGGGTGGGTCTTTGTGTTTGGAGAAGGGCAGTAGAGTGGTAGCTGGGGAGTTGATGGACAGTGAAGATGTCTGTGCTTTCACAACCATGGGTTGTGTTAAGTGGTGATAAAATTTACTGTATGTGCTATTTGGATGTCAGCTCACTGACCTGCAGCAGACCAAAATCCCACTGCTCATTCATACTATAAACTGTGCTGATTTCATGATACAGTCATTAATTTGTTTATTTTTACATTTTGTTTTTGCTGGCATTTTCAGTTTGGACAGTCTTGATTTGGAGAAAAGAGACAAATGTTAGGCGATGTCTAAACACAAACATTATTAATGTCACGTATTTCTATGCAGATTAACTTGAGCATATGAGACTAATTACAGCAGATTACACTGACTAGGGTCGCACTTGTTTTTATATCCGGACCTATAACGTATACAGTATAGTGTCCCGGTGTTTGTGTCTCTGATGTAAACTCATTTCTCATAGAGTGACACACTGTGTAAACACACCTTCCTTCACATACAGGACAGAGCCATTGCAAGAGACCTCTTAACCTCTCAGAGGGTGTCGCTGTAAATATTTTCAGTAATAATAATATCAATAATATTTTCAGCTTGATCGCTTGCACCTGAGGCAGCTGAGGTGTTTTCTGAAAGAATGACAAAGTCGAGGTGTTCTCTCAGTGAGAATAATAAACTGGCATATAGATCTTTGATGTAGGTTCCCTGCCCTTTCTTCTGTTATGTTCTGTATCATTTGTTTCTGTGTCATACCAGCTCCCCCCTTTTCAAACTTCTCCTGTCTTCTTTCCCATCTAGTTCCAAGGATTTTGTCTGTGTTATCCAGAGTGGCGCATCCTGAGTATGAATGAGTAGATGTTGGTGCAAAGAAGTGACACAGCAGATGTTGGAATGCTAATAAAATGGACTGTGGTGTTTCACGTGCCTAAATGTGTGTGTGTGTGTGTGTGTGTGTGTGGCAGTTTTGTCCTGTTTATCCCCCAGACACTTATTTGGGTGGCATCAGAGAGTTCGCTCATGTGAATGAAAAGCTATTTTTAGTCAGATGTCCCTTGAGAGCACAGATAAATGTGATGTCATGCCAGTGAGAGGAACATGTGATCTACAGCCCAACAGGTGGCTCAGGCAGGCGCTCCACTGCCCCCCTTTCCTGTCTGGACAGGGGCGTTGAGTGGATGAAGGATGATTTGACGTGAGTAATGCCCTATATGTCAAATGTTATTCTCATGTCTGTTTTTGTATGTCTCACTTTCTCACTCCAGTCAAAGATGTCCCAGAGGCAGCAGCGTATGATTAAGAACCGCGAGTCAGCATCCCTGTCTCGGAAAAAGAAGAAAGAGTACCTGCTCTCTCTGGAAGGTCGCCTGAAAGTGGCACTGTCTGAGAATGAGGTGCTCAAGTGTGAAAATGGCAACCTCAAGAGACAGCTGGAGGGCCTGCTGAGCGAGGTGAGAGGTTAAACGCCTCAGCTCTGCTAATGCTTCCACTCAGAGAGAGATGCTTGTGCGCAGTGGAAATGCTGCAACACTGAAAAGTACCAAACAAGGACAGAGATGTATTATATCTGTAATTTGTAGTTTGTAATATAACGTGGTTCCTTCTGTATTCCTGTAGAACACAGTACTAAAGGCAACAGCCCCCAAGAGGAGAGCTGTGTGTCTCATGGCCGTCTTGCTGTTCCTTGTGCTTAATGTCGGACCATTAAGGTGAGCATGTGAGCGTGAATAACTGTATGCCTTTTACTGTCCCTTGATTTAGTGTCTTATGGCTGAAATTAAAACATTAAGATTTAGCACTTGAAATTACTAAAAAAATCAGGCTACAGAAGAAGTATAAAACATTTGTACTGTATGTGACAGTTTTTCTTATCTCTGCTTGTACTAATGAGTTATATAAACTACACTGGGGAAAATAGCTGATTTCCACCCCGCTGCACAGATGGAAGGATTGTGTAATTCCATAAGCCTCTGGTCCACCTCCAACTATAACGACAGATTCTCTGTTCTCATGTTATAAAAATGTTTATTTTCTCCTGGGAATAATTTTCTCCACAAGGATGCAAGCATCGACTTCTTAGACTAGTTGGTTTGGACATTGTGTGTGCGCTCTGTGCTGGGAATGTGCTCTTTCAGTTGTTCTCCTCAGTTTAAACATGAAGAAATTTCTTGGGAGCCACGACTGAGTTTGCTCTTGCGACTTGGTAGTGGCGTTCACAGTAGCTAAACTCGCTGTGTGTCTGTACCTGTACATCTGTGTTTTGTGTTCAGGCTTCCTTTTTGGAATGTAAAATATGCCTGCTTTTGAGGTCAGATCCCTTTGAAATGAAAATGCCACCGAGCGCCGTAATACCATTGAAAGAGACTGTGTGTATTTGTGCTTGTGTGTGTGCCCCAGTGTGCTTTGGGGTTATGCAGTCTAGATCAGAGTTCAGATTCTGCTTGTGGCTAAAAACAAAAGGCCCTCCTGTGCGCAGGATGTGGCCCACATGGAATTCAGCACTCATTTCAGCCCAGTACTAAGCTCTTCTTTTTACTCTGTTTCTTCCATCTGGAGTGGCCTGATTTGACCTCACTTGATTCTTCAACTCACCTTACTTGTCTTCTGTTTCATCAGTGTTTTTCAGGGTGACTCAAGCTCTAAAGGCGGGGTTGTTTCCATGCAGCACAATGGCAGACACCTGTTGGGTTTCTCCCCAGAGGCAGAACCTGAGGCTGCGATGGGCCCCAAGCCTGTCAGCAGCGCTCCCTCTGAGATGACTGACAGGTAATGAGCTCAGCCCCCACGACACCCTTCATGACACTGTATTTACCCACCATGTCAGTGGACCAGGATACACCTGTGCCTGAGCTCAATCTGGACTGGTACAGCTCTTTACAGTATGTAAACATATTCACCACCTGCTCTGTCTAAACCTCTGCCTCAAATGTCCCCAGGTCCCTGGCTAGGAGGCCAACAGTTGTGCATTGAATAATAAAGTGGGAAACTGGGGTCAGGCCTTGATTGGTGTCCAGCTTTGTATTGCTGGTAACAGTTTATTTTCATAAGAAGTTGTATATTTTGCTTTCTTTTTTAAAATGCACTCAAAACCCAGCAGTCTCACTTGTAAATTGCATAAATAACATTCTTGCTCGGTGCATTGCCTGCACCCCCATGTCCTGAAAATGATGTTTTGCAAGGTGATCTGACTGTCTAATGTTCATGTGTTCATTGCGGGCCTGTGTTGTGTCAGATCTCTGTGTAGGTTATGTCATATGCTAATGTAAACCATCCATATGTAATATCAGGTTTCCCAGCAGCATTAAACCAGCGCAGGCAGGAAGGAACACATTAGCCTTTACAAAAGGGGTGACAGCACCCAGCACTGCAGGGAGGAGGATGATGGGGTTCTACTGAACCTGGAGTCTGGAAAGGTTAATATGGGCCCCTCAAAGTTATAATCGGGCCTCTGTGGTTTGACATGTTTTCTCACGGGACCATTTCCAGGACATATGGAGACAGAGGCACAGTCCAGTGTGTTGGCTCAGATCAGGGAGGGGATTTTTCTTCACAAGCCTTGTGCAGATTGGCTCTGACTGTGGACAGTCTACATCAGCACCTCAAGTAACATGATCCTTCATTTTCAGAGAGATCTAACAGTTACAATTAAAGTCACAGTAACATCTGAGGAGGAAAGTTATGCAGTTTGCTGCTAACCCACCTCATGGTAACAGCAAAGACCTTGGGGCTGTTTTAGTCTGCCGCTGTCTATCACCAGGCTGGATGTCACACACTGGGTGGGAATGCTCAGTTCTCTGTAGCATGTTTAAGATAATTCTGACCAGAATCTATAGCAGCTGTACTTCTCCTCTCAGTGCAAGCCATTTCTTTCACTCTGGGTGTTTCTTATTTGGCTCTCAGTTAGCATTCATAGCATATTGTATTCTCTATATATTTTTTACCAGATTTGAAATTATTATACTGATTTCAGAGCATCTGAACAGTCTTCCACTGTCTGCTTTTTATTCTGTGTTTCAGATCTGAAGATAAGGCCCTGATGGTGGTGAAGGATCCTATCTTCCTCAGGCCTCCTCCCCCTTGCCAGCCTCCTGTGAACAGGACTAAGTGCATGCCACAAGCCACCTGGGAGACACACCAAACATGTGGAAGAAGGTGCTCTGGTCAGATGAAACCAAAATCGAACTTTTTGGCAACAATGCAAAATGTTATGTTTGGCGTAAAAGCAACACAGCTCATCACCCTGAACACACCATCCCCATTGTCAAACATGGTGGTGGCAGCATCATGGTTTGGGCCTGCTTTTCTTCAGCAGGGACAGGGAAGATGGTTAAACTTGATGGGAAGATGGATGGAGCCAAATACAGGACCATTCTGGAAGGAAACCTGATGGAGTCTGCAACAGACCTGAGACTGGGACGGAGATTTGTCTTCCAACAAGACAATGATTCAAAACATAAAGCAAAATCTACAATGGAATGGTTCACAAATAAACATATCTAGGTGTTAGAATGGCCAAGTCAAAGTCCAGACCTGAATCCAATCGAGAATCTGTGGGAAGAACTGAAAACTGCTGTTCACAAACGCTCTCCATCCAACCTCACTGAGCTCGAGCTGTTTTGCAAGGCGGAATGGGCAAAAATTTCAGTCTCTCGATGTGCAAAACTGATAGAGACATACCCCAAGTGACTTACAGCTGTAATCGCAGCAAAAGGTGGCGCTACAAAGTATTAACTCAAGGGGGCTGAATAATTTTGCACGCCCAATTTTTCAGTTTTTTATTTGTTAAAAAAGTTTGAAATATCCAATAAATTTCGTTCCACTTCATGATTGTGTCCCACTTGTTGTTGATTCTTCACAACAACTTACAGTTTTATATCTTTATGTTTGAAGCCTGAAATGTGGCAAAAGGTCGCAAAGTTCAAGGGGGCCGAATACTTTCGCAAGGCACTGTATGTCCAATTTGTATGTTTACTTCTTGTTTTGTTTTCTCAACAAATTCATATGTTAAATATAAAAAAACAAAACAAAACTGTGTTAACTGTGAACACCAGGTTGGCCCATGAGTTGAGGGGTTGGGTCCACCGCCATGACGTGCAGCAGACCAAATCCAGGCGCATGAGTAACAGTAACAATAAACCTACCAGGACCATCCAGGTAAATCCACTTTTGGAAAGCAGGAAAGCATATCTTGTGTTCTGTATAAAAATGTACTCGGTGATCAGTGCTGGCATTAAATCTTATAAAATAAACTTCACTTGTATTTTAGGGCTTTACTTTCATTGCCTTTCTTTTGCCACCGTTTCACCTCTTCTCACACATTCCCTTTTTCCGCCTCTCTGTTCTCTTTATTGGGCCGAGTTTAATCCGGCAGCCATGGAAAGTAAACAAAACACTTGGGGGTGGGGTCTGTAGGATTAGTACCCCCCTCTCCTTTTTTCCATCTTTTTTTTTTCAGGCTGTCACAGTAAATCCAATCCACCAAGAGCTGCATAGCTAGTATATACTCATTCTTCATGTTACTCTAAATACAGATGTAGATGTTTATTTTTACCTGTACTTAGCTGTTGTAGCACTACACAGACATATAAAACATCACAGTATTTTAACATGTGAAACTCTACAATACTGATCAGGGGAACAAGGGGAAGTTTAACCCTTATGCTTTCTAAGGAGAAAACCTTGATGTGTAGGTGTTTTGATATGATGGTCAAATGTGAAGTTTTATCCACTGTTGTGATACAGTTTATCCTGCACCCTTTATTGTTTAGTTGATGTGAATATAAAGAGATTATAATTAATACTCTCACTTGTTTTCCTAACAGAAAACAGCGAATACAGAGGCTGCCCAGATTGTGACCATTCAATACACAGAAACTACTGAGGAAAAGTGAGTAAAAAAAAGCTTTCAGACATGGACTGTAACCCTGAAATGATTTAGATGTTACCCAGAGGAGCTGTATGTGAAAACACAAATGTCAGAAATCAGTCGACCCGGACATTACGCGGACTTTACACTACCAGCTCCCTAGTACAAAGTCCGCGTATAATCTTAGTGAGCCCATGTGAGAATACAGCACCGTATAGTCCAGAGTATTCACACCGAGCTAGTGGGCGTGTTAATGACGTTCTATCATGTGACTGGTGCTAAACCGGGATAATACAAACACCTGACGGTGCAGAAAAACAGTCATTTACAATGAAGACGACGCTGAAAATATTTAACTGGAGACACGACATGATTCAGAAACTTCTGTCGTTAAGAGCCACTGCCAAAATTGTCAGAAAAATTTAAGGAACGGCAAGAGAATTATAACCAAATTACAAACAGGCTACATGATCGCTTCATGTCCCGCCCCATGTATGTACCAACAGAGTATTTCCAGACACTGTCTTCCGTTGTGTGCTACATGTGTGAAAGAGCAACTCTGGATAAAGTCCGGACCTGATTCAGCTGGCATTGTCTGGAGTTCATGTGTAAAAATGCTAAAAGCCTGTTACAGGTTCATTTATGTCAGATTTACCCAAGTTAATCATTTTTTAGGTTTCTGTTATTCCCTTACAAGCAATTTATTTAAAGCTGTATGAAGCATGTATTGACAGCATGAATGCAGGACATACTGTAGACAAATTCACAGTAACTGCTGTGTGTGAGGTAAACCAGCACTGTGGTAAACTAAAACAGTGTTTGTCCTTGCAGATTCTCAGTCATCCAGGTCATAGTAAGCTGAAAAAACTTCAACTGGACTAGGTTTTTAGGTTCAAAGACCTTTCACCTCTTATCCAAGAGCCTGTCACATCAGTTCTGGCAACTGGCGTTGAGTCGGAGATATTTATCCCTATCGATGGTGTTTCAGTCCTTAGATGCCCAACAGTGTCCCCTAACGACTGAGTCATTATAGCCCAGTATCTGTGAGAGTTGTTACCTGTCTTTGAACCCTCACCTGTGGACCGACACCTATTGTCCTGGTGGACATGTTTGGGCAGAGATCTCAAAACAGGATTGTAGATGGATGACAAGTTGTGTCTTAGTCCACCACCCCTCTTTAGTGAGGGGTGTTCTATTTTTACAAAAATAGCTTCCTTGACTCCTCTCTCAAACCAGCGATGTTCTCTGGAGAGGATCTGGACTTCACTGTCCTCGAAAGAATGTCCTTTGTCCTTCAGATGGAGGTGGACTGCTGATTCTGGTCCACTGGAGTTGGCCCTCCTGTGTTGGGACATGCGTTCGTGCATGGGCCAGCAGTGGCTGCTTATTGCCGACAGTGGTGCGGTGGGTAGACCCTCCCAATTGGAAGGTTGAGGGTTCGAATCTTGGTGCCTGCAGTCCATATATTGAAGTGTCCTTGGGCAAGACACTGAACCCCCCAAGTTGACTGTGATGGCGGTGCATATGCACGCAGCGGCCCGGGGCCCTCGGCTCCAAACAAAATTTCGTTGTACGCGTCACAATAATACGCGTCTTCTTCTTCTTCTTCTTTTGTATACTATATAGGTTTGCTGGTCAATAAGAGTGTTTTCTTCTGGACTACACTGTAGTTTAGATCAGGTAGTTTTTGGCTACTTAGTTTTTTTTCTCTGTTGTAAGTCTGGCTATGAAACATCCAGATTTATAAGACAGTTAACCTCTCTAGGGCCACCAGCTGGCCCAGATGAAAATAGAAAATACACACACACATTTGTAAATCTTTTTCTTCATTGTTTTGCATATGTATCTGCAATCATTTAATTCCCCACAGGAATCCTGGCAGTGAGCTGCAGGTATACTACGCACCTCATCACACCTACAGTGACTTCTTTGATGAGATCAACCGTCGTGGTGACACTTTCTACGTAGTGTCTTTCCGAAGGGTAAGTTTATTTAGCACATTTGTGGTGATTAATTGTGTGGTGAATTGATCTCTTACATTAAAATTGCAGGAGATTTGAAGGGAACGTTGCTCTTCTTAATTAAACTAAATTTCATTTCATTTCATCTCTCATGAGACCTCCTTTTCCAATACTGGTGATAAACCGCCATTAAGTAATTATGGTAAGAGTAAATTATGAGTCATATATAATATCTTATAGGTCCTCTCCTCAGCAGAGTGGTCTGGTTTGAGAGGAAAGTTGGAGGAGATGACGAAATGCACATGCCCAGGGGTGTAGCTGCCCCTTTCCAATCCACTTTTCTTGGTCTTTTTCCAGTCATCAAAACATGATTTTTATTTTATAGGCATGACCACGTCACTGTAAATCTACTTGGTTTTTACTCATTTGACCATATTTCCATATTTGAGACTCTGGACCTGTTTTTAATTTTCTCTCTTGATATGATTAATTCTTGGAAATCCTATTCATAATGGTTAGTTTGATTTGTTTGGGTTTGTTTATGGAACCCCTGACCTTACATCCTCAATCATTCTCAAATCCTGACTAAACAAAAAGAAAACACGTTTGCTGGGGGGAAATGTTTTCATTGAGTTTGGTTGTTTTAGCTAAAATCAGCCTTGGAAATCTGCTGATAACCTATTTCTGATAAGATGTAAGATATGTATCTTACCAAAACACATTTGTTCACTGTTCCAAAGATGTGGACTGTTACCGTAGTTTATCTCGCATTTAGCACCTCTAGATACACTGAGTGATGCTAACCTCTTAAATCCTCAGGATTACTCAGTGGGCCAGGGATTTTGAAGCATGTGGTCAAAGATCAATATCCCTTGCGACAGAACAAGGTTCAAGTATAAGGGAGGCATGGTGACAGCAGGGACAAGGGTTACAATAGTGCTTTCGATTTGAGGACCTCTACAGATCAAGTAGCTGTCCTTCAGTTTCTAGCAGCTTTGAGTTGTTGGAAGCAGTGCGGGTGTTACAGTTTGTCCAAAATTAGAGTATGACAATGAATAAAATGTTTAACATTACAGGGGGAAAAAATCCTCTCTGATACTTAAACTTTTAATCACAACAATTAAACTGAAGAATAAATTGAAATTCCTTGGTTGGACTTTTACTGACTTGCTGACAAAAGGTAAGTTTATAATTGCTTTACTTTAAACCTTTACCGTTGTGATATGATAATGTGAAACCACAAAGCTGTTTTGGCCATATATATCAGGAAATAATGTAACATGCCAATCAGAATATCAAAAACCAAAGGCAGTGTCTTTAAATGGCCTATTTAGTCCAACTAACAATCCAGAAACCAAATACTCAGTTTGCTTAACTTAAGACAATGTAACACAGAAAACCTTTATAATGGAGAAACTGGAATTTGATAGTTTGATTGGCAGTTTTCCTTGGGGAAAAAAAAGAACAATATTTACAGAATCATTTTCTTTGATTAATGGAGCTCTAAAAAATGTATCAATTGCTCTGACTCTAATTTTCTTCCTTTTCTATTTTGCATTTCTAACCAAAGTAAAGTCCTGCCTTCTTTACGACATGCCTGCTCTTTTTGGATGATTGTTTTGCTAAACTAAGTGTGGAAGATGATCCTGGGTTTTAATAAGATGGAAAGGTTTTGAGTAATCAACAATGTGTTATTGGTAGATATGGGGAAAACAGTTTAATAAACACTAAATAGTAAATGACACAGGCCATATAAAGAGCATAGATTACAGACATTCAGTGTCACCTTTTTAATTGTTACAGACATGCCTTCATTAACTTTTCACCAGTTTATTTGGCTGTACTATGTTTTGTTTCCTGGGTTTCTGTGTGTGTGGGTATTGAGCAAACACTGTTATGTTTTTGTTTTTTGTTCCAGCTAATGTGATGTAATTACAAGACTGCCAAAGCCCTGGATTAACTTTATAATTTGTTTTGATTTTCAAGCCAATCATGGCCAATTTTCACTTTTGTCCCTCTAGACGAAAAATATTTCATCATGGCCTATTTTTGCCCTGGCCAGCATCTTGGGTCACTCCCTGCAATATGTTACGCGCTCAGAGGCGGTCATGTTCATATCAGGGTTACTTTGAACCCTCAGTAGAGACCTTACCGTCTGCGGCTTTAAGTGTAAAATGAGATGAGGTGATGGAAAACGTTACTCTGTGACTGCGCTTACTCTACCGCCATTTTGGGGTCTTGCATCACTTCATGTGTAGTTTTAGCACCTGTGGCTTTGTGTAAGTGTTCATCGAGGTGACGTGGTGGAAACACTGGCTGCTTTCACTGTGGACCATGACCAATAGCTGTTGTCAGCATGACAAGGTCGTCAGACCACTGATGCTAAGCAGCCATCCTCCTAACAGATCAAGACACCCTTTCATTTGTTTGTAGCATTCAGTACTCGTTTTGGTGGCCTATATCTTGTCTCTGATGCCTTGCAGCGATATGGCATGTATCATGAGTTTTACGAGCCAAGTGTGGCAGAGTGAACCAGTTGTCAGCCGGCCTCTTAGCAGCTGTAAAGCCAGGTGATGGAGACCAAACCACAGAGGATGTCTCTGTGGAGATCTATTGTTCTAATAGAAGAACTCCTCCAATTTTACACCTGACGTTCAGTTTGCTCATCATGTGGCCTATAAATTTAGCTGCCTAATGTATTGTACCCTTGGAGGGAGCCCCCCCAAAGTTTAGAAACTACATATTGAAATGCTTTATTGTACTTTGTTGTTGCGTTATACAACATACGTGTGCAGGATTTCATTCACCAGTCTTAGTAGTACTTCAGTTAAATAATTAAAGTCACTCTATGTGTGTCGGCTGCTGCCATTACTCTGTGTGTGTGTGTGTGTGTGTGTGTGTGTGTGTCACATGTGTTTGCACATTAGTATTCTTCTCCACTGCAGCATCTTCTGAGAGGATGTGCTAGGATTAAAACCTTTCGTCTCATTGTCAAATGAGTTGCACAAAAGCCATTTTTAATTATAGCCACTTAGTGAAGTGCTTTGCTTAGTTGGTGCCATTTTATTTCCAGACATCTAGTAGATTCAAAGTAAAAAAAAAAAAAAAAAGGTGTTTCAAAATGGCCCAATCTTATTAACATTCAAGTTCGAAGTGTTTATTTTCATATGCACAGTAAGGAAATGTGTTTCCCTGTACAATGAAATTCTTACTTTGCCGTAAACTGAATGCCAAACAAAAGTGAAATATAAAATAGATAAATAGTAGCACAAAATCTAAAGGCACTTTAAACAGCAAGTGAAAAGAAATATAATAAGAACACAATGAGACATAATGTATGCTACAGTACATTGGAACTGTATGTGCAAAAGTCAGCTCCAATTATTGAAATTAAGAGTGGTTTTACTGATGGGTGATGGGCTGAGGCATGTAAAAGGGACTCGTATGAAGGATTTCTCCCTTATGCTTGAACCTTTTAACCTCGCAAGATATCACGTACAGTACATGTCCCTTCTGTTAAGAATTACAACTTCAGTTCCACATCTTGACTGGCAACTGGCAAGTGTATGCAGCCAACCATTATAATTGCTTCCCAGTGAATTCTATTTTCCTCATGATGACCTCTTCTTTGTTCCCAGGACCATCTTCTACTTCCTGCTACCAACCACAACAAAGGGAGTCGACCCAAGATGTCTGTGCTGTTGCCAGCCATGAACATAAATGGTAAGCAGTGCAGCTCGCACACACACACAAATGATGGAGAGTTAGGTCACTCCACACAATGTACCAGATGAAAGGCAGATTCAGAACCATGTTTCCCCACAAGAATGCAGTACATTTGGTCTAAGACACTTAGAGCACTTTTGCTTTTTAAGCCTTTGAAGGTGACACTGATAATTTTTTCATCTATGCTGGTACTTTGTTTCCCAGAATTGCCTTCTTGGAGCTAGAGTTTGTGTGTTTTGTTTAACCTAAATGAAATTTTCTTTACAGATTATCTTTGCTATAAAGCTTTGTTGACATCTGGCGTTACAAGGTCTTTGCTCCCTCCCTCTTGCTTCCCTCCCTCTTTAAACTTATGGTTTCTTTTGTGTCCTTCAGCCACTGACTCTTTGTTGCATTTTAGTAATTGCTGGAAAGACAATACACAAACCAAAAAAAAAAAGTCATTTCCTTTTGCATTTTGTTTTGGATGAGCAGTAATGAATCTGAGGCCTGGACAGAAATTTGTATTTGGTTAAGTGTACCACTATTTATATATTTTTACTATTTAAAAATGTAATGTCATAAAAAACATTTTAAAAATGCCCTTTTACTAGACTGAAAATCTAGTGCGACCATGTCTTTGGGTGGGCTCACAATAGCCAGGGTTGCCTTGTACTGTGCCTGAACGCAGTTGTCCCCACTGCCCTGCACGCATGATCCAGGCCCAGGCACACTTATGTCACCACAATCCCACTTTTTGTGTGGACGAGAAGCGCTCTCTCACTTCTGAATTCTGTGCTCATGCATGGTTAGCAATAACACTATGTCTACCGTGCCCGAGTCCAACTCAACTGTTCTCAGACCCACCACTTGCTACTATAGATTTTGGCTGTACATCCTTTGCCTACACAACAACCGTTTTTTTTTTTTTTTTTACTTTATAGTAAAGAGCACCCAAAAAAACATCCAGGCCAATATCATCCAGACTTGTGGTTCTGATACAAACTGTCACTTATGCTGCTTTTCCACTATTGGAACCTAATGAGCAGTACACCCCATACTTCCCTTAACCATCACTAAGCGTAGGCTCCTGGGTTTGACGTAGACCATCCTGCTTAACTTTTCCACTGTATTTTCTGTCGGTCTCTGTTTAGAGGAGGGAGGGGCTGCTCTCCTCTCACACAGGCAGTGAGCTGTGTGGTTACACATGGTGCTTGTAATGCTAATACTTGAAGTGTGAAGTTACAGATATTTAACTAATCACTGGCAACTACTCTAGCACACGCACCCTCTGCCCTTGCATGGTCCTGGTACTTGATTTTAATAGTATGACTATTTGTCCGGACAGGCCTGAAAAATGGGCATTTGTAAGTAAGTTACTTGCCAGGAAGGAGTAGTTCAGCTAATAAGCCAGCAGTGCATGACTTGGTCAATAAACTCTTGTGAAAATATAAGCACTTTGATTTGAGGACACCAGACAAACCATTTACCATTGCTGTCACATTTCAAGGCCACATGCTAGTGACAAAGAAACGCATTACTTTCTGTCAAACATATGTCCACTTTAGATTATTTAACAGGGACAAAGCTCATTTAAGCCGCTTCATTTCCTCTTAAGTAGTACAGTTACTGTCCATAGCCTGTCAGTGTCAGTGGCAGACAGATAGTACATGGTTACGATTTGGAGGCTGGTCCATCTGGGAAGCAGTCACCAATTTGACTGCCTGCCCTCCCTCAAAAACAAAGCCAAACATTTTAGCATTTATTTGCATAAGGTATTCTTCAGTATCTGCACACTTGATTGGTAGAAACCTTGGACTATATTTGGTTAATTTGTTGCCAAAATGTTTTGTATGATGAATCACTGAAGTGTGCACCTTTTCTTGATTTTCATGAGCTCGCCATAACCTTCTTTCTGCTGCATTATCAATGCAGTATTTCAGAGTCAAGTCAGCAGAGGTTTCAGCAGAAAGATGTCTTCTGTTTGATTTTTTTACTGAACCTCCAGGACAGTGAATTGAAAGGAAACTGTTTATGTCGGGTGTGAGCAGTTAGGAAGACAGCCTGTTGTTGTTGTTGGCTGTTTAACTGGCATTTTTATCAGAAATCCTCTTGTTCTTCTGATATCTCCCAGTCTGTGTGTGTCAAAGCGCCAACATCAGATTTGATTAGTGTTTCAACCAGGACTGAGAGGAGTGAGTCAGTGGAATATGAGCCTCTCAGCTGGCAGGGAAAACATGGCCATTGGGAAAAAACTTTTTTCCCCTTGGTAGGGGGTGTTTTGAGATAAAGACTGAAGATGAAGACAAACATTGTTCTTGCTTGGTCTTGTCACACAGGAATGTTAAGGTCCGTGCTGGTCAGATAACCTGTTGAAATAGCAGTAAATTGTGAAATCCAAAACCTCCACGTTTATTGTTGATATGGCCAAACAAAGGTGATATTCAGGGAGTGATTTCAGACCTGGAAAGATTTTCAAGAAAGGGCTCTTCTATTTGCATGACTTGTCATGGATGCCTATAGACCACATAGGCCACAAATTCAAAATAGTGTCTTCTGTGCTTATACCAGTCTTTTGCTTCTTGTTTCAGGCATTTGTGTGTTTGCCTCTGTTTTATGTTAGCACAGATGCATGTTCAGTAGCTTTACACTATGTTCACATTATCAACCTTCTGATCTTTTTCTCTTCACTGATCTTTTTGTCAGATCTGATCTTTTTCTCTTCGTGAATCACATTCATGTTTGCAAATGACAAGTATCCGGCTCTGGTGTGAACACCGCTGAGGTCTTAAACTGAATGTGATCCCAATGCACACAAGACTAACAACAATAATGTCATTTGTAAGATGGTCAAACCGCACAATTTTTTTTGGAACATCTTGGTTATAACATGATCCCTTGGCATGATCAGAAACTTAAATGTCCAACAAATGTGAAACTTTTGCATTTCTCCACTGACTCCCCTCGCTGTTGTCCTTGTTTATTTATACCAGCCTGTAAAACCTAACACAGAAAGATGACAACAGGCAATATGCACACGCGCAGAGATGTTGATAAAAAAAAAAACACATGAATTCTGATCTGACTGTTCTCACAGAGGTCACATATATGAAAGTAGCCCAGATCTGATCTGAAAAAAATGGATTTGGTTTGTTTACACAAGCATGAAAAGATTAGGTCTGAGTCACTTGGAAGGAAAAAATTGTCATTCAGCATGTAGTCTGAACATACTGTAGCTTAGGCTTCAGATGCCACAGCTGCTCCTCCTGGGTCTATGTATCTCATTGACCTGACAGCGAGAACTGTAGCCCAAAACCCAGCCAACAGAGCCTGGAAAAGGTTAGCGTTACTTTTCTAGCAGGACAGCACATGCGTCGTCCTTCCTCCTTTTACTTGAGAAACCCCATGTGTCACACAGATGACCTCCTTCAAGTAGCACTTTAGATTTATGCTATCTTTGTTTAAGACTGTGAAATGATTAAATGCAAATGTACATATTTAGCTGGGTCAGACGATTAGTGAAGCAGAAACACTGTCCTCTTTCTGGAGGGTTATTGTTCCACGCTGGAGAATAGTTCTTTCCAGCTCCCTGTTGCTGCTCTCCTTTAGGAATGCCTGGCTACTCCAGTCACTAAATGGTTATCATCTGGAAGTGGTGGATACACTCCGCTGATCTGGAGCAAGTGACTGGTCTGTCCTGGTCAAAAACTAAACATCAAAGGTAGAGACTCTGAAGCAAGCAGTTGTCTTTCAGTTCCTGTCTTGCTACGTATCTATGGTTCAGGGATTGTGTTGTTACTTCACCATGACCTCCCTGATATCCCCTCTGAAAGCACAACTGGCCAAATAGTGTAGTAGCTCCTTATATGGGGTGTAGGGTGTGCTTAGTTAATGATCCTTTGAGTTTGAAAGTAGCTTAATCAAGTGGAGGCGTCATGTTTGGATGAGTTATGAGGATGAAATCATTTACAGGCAGATTGACCACGAGAGACACATTGCAGTCTATTTTTACTGCACATGTTCTCTGTAGCTAACAGGCAGCTCACACTGGGGCTTCAAGGTAGAATTCTATGCAACTGAAGGAGTTGGGGGTCACATTTTCCTACTCCTCTACTCAGCCCCCCCGAAAAAGAGTACACTGTTACAAACCCAAATGTTTGACCCTTTCCATCCTCGCAAAAGAAGTCCTCAAAATTTGTGCTAGTCTGTCAGCCACCATCATCGTGATATGCACTCAGGTTTCTCCAGCTGCCAGACACTGGGCCTTTATCAGAACATACCAATTCACCGTGTCACTGCCACTTTCTGGAACACCTCCCGATGGCAACTGTAAAAGGTAGAAGGAGACCACACAAAGCACAACGGTAGATTTGGCAGCTTCTTCAAAGAGCAGCTGTCTGAAGTTGGGCCCTGGGGCTGTGTGTTTATCTGTTTCACTGTGCAAACCTCTCAAGCTATTTGCAGAGTAGAAGTGAAGACAAGGTGCTAATTTGGTGAAAGATGGCTGTAAACAGTGAGATATAAAATGTGAGTCTTCAGTTTGGATAATGCTGTAGATTATGGCCCACAAATTACTGTGTAATGTTTTGTAATTATTGGTCACTCACGAAATAATGATGGGATACAGTAATTTCATTATGGAGTAACAGAAATGCAGCCACTGCAACACACTACACTAAACTAAGATTGTGAGTATGATATATATTACACCTATTAAGTATCAGCAAGCTGCCATTGTCTTTGTTGAGCATCTGATCATGGCGATGTTAGCATTTAGCTCAAAGCAGTTCTGTGATTTGTTTGAAAGACTGTCTTTTGCTAAATAACGGCCATTTTGGCCACAGTTAGCAGTTAGGGGTAAAGGCTGAAAGACAGTTGGACTGTAGCACAAGTGGAGAAAAGCCATTAACAAACTGTAATGTTTATTATACAGCAGTATCTCTATTAGCCACCATGACCTACTGGTCATTCCAGAACAGCTACAGTAATCACAGCAAAACCCTTGAGAGTACTGCACTGAGCAAGTGTGTTTTATTGCTTAAAAATGTAACTATAATTTGTTAAAGGAAGAATTTGTTACTTTACATAAATACGTACAGCCTCACAGACCAGTCAGTGTAGCTGTCGATGTAGTTTTATTGTATTGTATTGTTTTATAATTATTGATTATAATAAATGAATTATTATTAAAAATACGTGGAAAAAATATTAACACGATAATTAAGATGCAGATTCCTTGTAACTATTAAATTGGATTGGATTATCCATGTGACCACTTTATACTGCCAGACTGTTGGAGTTGTATTTAATGTTAGATGAAGTCATGGTAATGTCAGAGACATTTATTTTCCACTGAACAGAATCAGCACAGGCTTGACTGTGCAGCAATGACAGAACCTTGAACTATCATTAAGCTACATTATATGGAGATAGACAGTGAATAACTTTTCCAGCTCTGTTTCAAACGGATGCTCAGTCTGAAATAGACATAACGTGACAATAAGTTAAGTCCAAACCCAGAGGAGGCTTTCCAGAAATGTCTGTTGAAACACTGTTTGAAGATTTCTGGTTTCACTGCAGTTGCAGAAGAGGAAGTTCAGCAGTGGATGAAGTCAAAGGCAGCATATGTGTACTATCCATTTAATGACATGAACATCCATGGAGCTTTCCAGCTGCAGAAAGAACTATTGTTACGGCCTCTTTACAATTTGATAAAGTTTTTCTGTCTCCAAAGTGCATGCCAAAAGACATCCTGCAGACAGAAGAAGCTGATGTCTTGCACAGTTGTCTGGAAAAAGCTGGCAGCTTTTAAATAACTTGTAATGCTCTTAGGCATGTTAAAGATTCCTACAGCTGCATTTCTGGGTCATATAATAGGGTAGTCAAGCTGTGACTGAGGTGCATTTGGTGTGTGTGCTGCTATTATCTCTGCATGTAAAGGAAGCCACAAGTTATAAAGTTAATGCTAATACATCCCTCTATATATTTAAGATGTTTTGTTACCATAGAATTTTACAAGGGTGTCCCCTCTAAGGGTTGTTCTTCCCACAGGCTGAGTAAAGTTAGGCTGTGAGAGACTGCAAACATACTGTTGTCACAAGTCCAGCATCCCCCCCAACTTGAGTTTCCCCAAGATAAAGCAAGACTAGTTCAAGTCAAGTCAAGATTTTTATTTGCCATTTATGCATAAACAGACAGTCTAGGCATATAGGAATTCTTGTGCAGCTCTCCTTTGGAGTCAGGTAAGGAGTGAGGTTGGTGAGGTAGTGAGGGGTTATAACATACTAAAACACAGTTTATATGCAGGTCTGTTTTCATTGCTTGGTAGAGAATGTCCTGCTATTATTCAGGTCCCCCAAGAGAACATTGTTGATGAGATGCTCTTACAAAAATACCTTGTGGAGCATTTCTGTATTATTGCACATGTCTAGTAAGGGGGGTTATTGCACATATAGTCTCACATTTCTCACACTTTCGTATTTGCCATCAGTCTTACTGCAGCAGGGAAAAAGCTGTTGTAAAGTCTAGTTTTGTGTGTGATGATACTCTCCGCCGTGCTGTGCCTGAGGCTGTAGGTGCAGTTTTTGTGTCTGAGCAGAGAGTGAGCTGGGTGGAGTGGATCTCTGAGTATGTTCTCTGCCCTTTTACGATAGCGCTGTGTGTACAGTGTGTCCACAGCAGGCAGGCCAGTCCCACTGATACTCTCTACAGTCTTTATGGCCCTTTGAAGAGCCTTCCTCTCTGCCTGTGTGGTGCTACCATACCAGACTGTGATGCCAGTAGTGAGGATGCTCTCTACCAGCCCTCTATAAGCCTGGGTGAGAGGGTAATGGTTCAACCCAGCTTTTCTGAGCCGCCTAAAGAAGTATAGCTGCTGCTGGGCTTTCTTCACTGTGGCGGCTGTGTTCAATGACCAGCTCAGGTCAGATGTCACCTGCAGGCCCAGGAACCTGTGGCTGTCAGCCCTCTCTATCTCAGTCCCTTTGGTGGTCAGAAGCAGCAGAGGGGAGGGGTTCTTCCTGAAGTCTACTATTATTTCTTTTGTCTTGTTTATGTTGAGGATGAGGTCATTCTCTTCATAAACAAGAATGTTGTTCACCAAGCTTCTGCAGCCCAACTCATCTACCCCCTTGATGAGGCCCAGAATGGTGGTGTCATCAGCATATTTAATGATGATGGTGTTGTCCTGGTTGGCAACACAGTCTTGGGTGTACAGGGTGAAGAGTTTGGGGCTGAGACAGCAGCCCTGCGGTGAGTCTGTGCTGATTGTGAGCTCAGCAGATACCCATTCTCCCATTCTGACAACCTGTGGTCTTTCAGAAAGTCCAGAATCCAGTTACAGGTAGGAGTTGGTACACCGAGGTCTGTCAACTTCCCAATCAGCCTACCTGGGCGAATGGCGTTGAATGCAGAACTGTAATCCAGGAAGAGCATCCTAGCATAGGTACTGCTGTTGTCAAGGTGTTTCAGGGTATGGAATAAAACCAGAGCCGTCACGTCGTCCACTGATCTGTTGGGGCGGTAGGCAAACTAGAGGGGGATCTACATGTGTGAGGACCAGTTTCTCTAAGCACTTGGTGTCTGTGTTCAACCTGTCAAACCTCGTATAGAAGCTGTTGAGGCTGTCCAGGAGGGTGGCGTCCTGGGGGGCTGTGTTTGTTGATTTGTTCCTGTAGTTTGTGACTGCCTGGATTCCCTGCCACATACTGCGTGTGTTGTTATCCATATAGTAGCTCTCCAGTTTTTGGACATATGCTCTCTTTGCAGCTCTGATGGACTTCTGTAGCTCATACCGGGCTTTCCTGTACTCCGCTTGGTCCCCTGACTTAAAAGCCTCTTGTCTCTTCCTGATTTTCTGTTTTATATTCCTATTAAACCAGGGTTTTCGGTTAGGGAAAACACACACTGTTCTAGCTGGTGCACCAGCTGATGTAATCACTCACAGTCTCTACATATTCTTGGATGTCATTTGTGGCCCCTTTGAAGATGCTCCAGTCTGTGGCTTCTAGACAGCTCTGCAGGCTGGCCTGTGCACAGTCGTTCCAGGTGTTAGCAGTTCTCACCAGTTTGGTGTAAGCAGGTTTTAGCCGGATTGCTAGGTGGTCAGATATACCAAAATAAGGCTTGGGTTCAGCTGAGGAAGCATTTCTAATGTTACTGTAACATTGGTCCAGTGTTTTGTTTCCTATAGTAGGAAAGGTTACAAACTGATACAGTGTAGGCTTTTCCTGAGATTGCAGTGGTTAAAATCCCCCAAAATACGGTTTTTGGTTGGGGAAAACACACACCGTTCTAGCTGGTGTGCATATGGATGTGCACCAGCTGATGTCACTCACAGTCTCTGCATATTCATGGATGTCATTTGTGGCCCCTTTGAAGATGCTCCAGTCTGTGGCTTCTAGACAGCTCTGCAGGCTGGCCTGTGCACAGTCGTTCCAGGTGTTAGCAGTTCTCACCAGTTTGGTGTAAGCAGGTTTTAGCCGGATTGCTAGGTGGTCAGATATACCAAAATAAGGCTTGGGTTCAGCTGAGGAAGCATTTCTAATGTTACTGTAACATTGGTCCAGTGTTTTGTTTCCTATAGTAGGAAAGGTTACAAACTGATACAGTGTAGGCTTTTCCTGAGATTGCAGTGGTTAAAATCCCCCAAAATACTAAAAGCAGCATCAGGATATGTGTTTTCATGCTCACTAATCATACTGTACAGTTCCCTCAGTGCAGCTTCCTCTTTGCCTGGTGGGGGGGGCATAAACTACACTCACAATGATACATTGCAGCTGTCGAGGTAAATAAAATGGCCTTAGCTTTAGTGTTAAATATTCCACATCTTTAGAACAGAATTTGGAGAGAATCTTACAGTTTGTGCATCAATACTGTTTGACAAAGGCAGCCATTCCTCTCCCGCAGGTCTTGCGAGCACTACAATCCTGTCTGAACACAGTAACCATCCAGAGTTATACCCTCATCGGGAGTCTGTTTTCCCAGCCTTGTTTCACTAAAAAAAGAGCAGGGAGCAGTCCTGTACAGTCAGGGAAAAAATAATTTGAACCCCAGCTGATTTTGTAAGTTTGCCCACTAACAAAGAAATGATCAGTCACCAATGTCAATGGTAGGTTTATGTGAACAGTGAGAGACACAACAATAACAAAAAAATCCAGAAAAATGCATTACAAAAAAAAAGTTATAAAGTAATTATAAAGTTATAAAGTAAAAGAGCTCCCTGCCGGGGGTTGGCCTGGCATTGTGGCTTGTTGCTTGTTTATATAGGCCAAACCTCAGGATGATCTTGTGAAAATCTCTAACATTTGATAATGAGCTTTGTATTCATCATCTTACTGTACACCATCTGCAGTCTCTGGGGTTTCTTCAAACACAGTCATACGACTCAACAGCGTGGATCACTTTCTGGCTCTGTCTTGCCAGAGTGGCCTCTTTTCTTTGAACCCAACAAGAAGACTGAAGGATCCTGACTCATCATGAGCGATCAGTGTGTCTGCTTCTTTCCCACACCCTTGGCTGACTTTATTCTGTTAAATTAGCTTGTCATGCTCTTGTTTGTAGATGTTTTTATTTCTCTCAATGTAGGAGAAATCCAGCATGTGACTCATCTCCTCAGTACCCCCCACTTCAAACAATACTCTTTTATACTCCCAAAAAACTCACTTTTATGACTTGTCAAAAATGACTTTTGCAGTCATTTTTGGGAAGCACTGTTTTGGTCTTGTTTTGATTAAATCTTTTGCCACAATCCAAAACAACTGTAGATGGGGCATATGCACATTAAACTGCACTAACTTATTTAGTCATACACTGATTGGTGCGTCAGTAGGTAACAGTTCTTTTCTTTCATTCCTGCCACTACAGACAGCGTCATCAGGGACAAAGAGTTTGAGGTGATGATGCAGATTGACTGTGAAGTGACGGACACCAGGATTCTCCACATCAGGTCTTCCACCATCCCACCTTTGCTCCGAGTCAACCACACAAACACATTTTACCAGCATTCCCCAACCGACAATCAGGCCTCGCCTCCTGTTGGTGTGCTAATGGGGCCTGCTTAGGGTCAACAGCTGCATTATTTATAACTGTCAAGACAAAAACCTAGAAACTCAATCTCTTCATGTCTGCCTCGTT